CTATAAATATTAGTTTTATATGTTTGTTGTTGACTGAACATTTGGGACAGTGAAGAAATCAGAAGCTCATATGATCATGTGATGATTCATCATTCTGGAATAATAAAACAGCCTTTCTTTTAATATTTATGTGGGTGTGTCAAGGTGCAACTATGAGGTTGTATTGCTTTTAATGTTGCTGCCGCAAAGAATTGTGGGGTAGATGGTCCGATGTTTCCTATGCTAAAGGAGATGAGTTAGGACATATGGCTGCATGATATATTGAAAATGTATTGTTATCACGATATCAACACGCACAATATATCTCTATCGCAAAAGACTGCTTGAACTGCGATAAATGTTGTTCCATGTGCTGTGGGCTCTTTTTCTCCGTAGCCGGGTCGAATTTCCCAATAAAACCATCTTGTTGGAATGGAAATAATGCTTTTCATTTTCAGTGTCCGCATAGACCACTTACTGTATGGGGTGTAGGTTATCATTGAAACCAAAGCAGAAGGACTTTAACATCGTATACTTAAGCATTTGTTTATTTATCGCAAGTCATATCATTATGTCAATACTAAAATATTGCATGTTTTGCTAATATTGTGCAGCCCTATCAGGATGCATTGACGCTCTTTTCCTTCATTTAGAATATTTGAACAGCTCTTATCATGGTGGCCACTAAAATACTTCAGGGTCATTTCAGTTAGGAAGATTCCTAAGCAAAATTGACTATTGGAACGCAGCCAAAATTTATTTGTTCCAAATAAAATGAATACAAAATTACCAGCCCTGACTACTGCCTCTTTTCTGCAAAGAAACAGCCAAACAAATCAACTTCTCTACAGATAAGCGCTGCAGTTTGATACATCTCCCAATATCTTGTTTAACCTCTCAACCAATTCCATTTGTTCTGTTTGTAGCACTTGGGTATACTATGACCTGGATGATTAAGAATCTCTCCAGACATAGAGCCTCTGGAAGGCACACATTCCAAAGGGCCTAACTGTATATTTGAAGAAACCATGGAGTCACAAAAGCTGAAATGTCTGAAGCTTGGGGGGTTAAAGAAACCTGCCAATATTAATATATCAAGCTTGCTGACATATTTTGCAGGGCCGATTTCATCAATGCAATTATCAATAAGAGGTAATGGATGTGCATCTGGGACAGCGAAAGTCAGTACAAAATCTTAAATCTACCAACAGCTACACAACTCTTAATACAACACTAAATATCACAGCAATGTTAAAAGGAAACTTTGCCACTGTCCAATCAGTGTTGATGGTAAATGTAGTCAATTGGCGCAACAAATTCCTCAGTGTTTGCAATATCGACCTAGAAAGGTAAGATCTGCTGCAAAATCAGTTCTTCTCCCATCAGTGATGTCACAGTGATGTTGTTGATGTTCAAAAAACTACAGGATATTTCAGCTTGGATATCTAGTCTTATTCTCTGGGTAGCCAGAGGGCAGCTATGAGTATTTTTTGACGCCTAACAGTATTGACTAACAAAGTAATTACTACATAAGCTAGTGTGGTAATACACAGGCATGGCTGTCAGAGGCTTGCGTGGGCATCAGAGGCTTGCGTGAAACGCATCTTGGTACATGTACTATAAAGCACTGCCTGCATAGCTCTGTGAGCAGAACATTGTTGAAAGTCTTCAGTCCAGTTAACACTTTACAGCCAGCCACACTAATAGATTATAAAATAATATTTCATTAATCGTAATCAAGGTAAAAGTTTAAAATAATCGTGATATTGATTTGAAGTCATATTGCCCAGCCCCTGTGAGAAGTATCGGCCCAAGTACAGAACCTTGTGGAACTCCATAACTAACTTTTGTGAGCATGGATGGTGAATCGTAACTGGTCTGTATTTATGTAGGAGTTGTTGTTAACATTAATTAATTAATTGTAATCGCTCAGATAAGTATGACTTCAAATCCAGCCTGCTGTTCTTTTAGTCATGTTGCTCCAGTACAACAGAATCGTATGATCTATGGTGTCAAATGCTGCAGTAAGATCCAGGAGGATGATTACATAGACATTGTCTGAAACCATGAAAAGGTCATTGGTAACTTTCGGCAGTGCTGTTTCTCTGCTGTGATGGATTCTAAATTCTGATAGTCAAACATTCCTATGCAAATAATCACACAACTGGGTAGCAACAGCTATTTCAAGGATTTTAGAATTTAAGTGAAGCTTTCATTTGCAATCAGCACAGATATCTGATAACTTTCGCAGGTTGCATTCTTTTGTGCTAATGTTGGGAGAGTTAAGTTTAGCTAGTAGGCTACTTGTCTTCACCTTTAGCTCCTCGTCGCTGTATTTTGAAAAAACGATGGAATGTTTTGTTTCATAGTGGCGAAAGATGTTATATCCAAATTTGGTATATACAAATGAGACAAACGGCTGTTGAATTTATTTCCGTAAAAGAAAAATCTTCTTGCCATTTTTTAAGTAGGATAAGTATTAGTATTAGTATCAGTTTCCTCTCTGGTGGTAACAATTTTATTAGTGAAGAAGCTCATGAAATAGTTATTGCTGAGAGTTAAAAGAATATGTGGTTCAGTAGACTTATGATTCTCTGTTAGCTTGGCTTTAGTGCTGAAGAGGAACCTGTTATTTTTATTATAGTAATAATGAATAATAGGAGGTTTCAAAGGGCATTCTTGTACATTATTAGACTGTCTTTCCAGGCTACTCTACATTATTGAAACCAGTGGTTCCCAAAAGGTGTGCTGTGGGATTTTCAGAGAAATGGAGAATATTATTATTGCAATACTACTGCACTACTACAGGGCTCCAGACCATTTCAATCTGTGAAGTGAGACTAAAATGTTTCCTTTGTCTCTCTGGTGCGTCAAACATTTATCTAGTGTGTCTCTGTATTTGATCGAGCCGTGTTGTTCCTCATCTCTTCTCCTTTGCAGAGTTAACGCTCTCACACACAGGCCCCGGACAGGCCACGTCCCCACTCACTCATACTGACACACGTGAAACAGAGATGAGGGAGAGGAGGAGGTGAACATAGTGATGTATGTTGAGCTGTGGAAACAGAAAGTGTGAATAAAGTTTCCACTACAGACGCTGTAAAAGGATCAGTGCCGCTGCTTCTGCTCTAATCCTGAAGCTGGTTTGTACAATGTCATAGTCTCTGTCTGACTATCCTCCCTTCACACTCCAGCTGACACTCACTTTATCCTTTAACAATAAACACCAACACTCATCACAGGTTATTAGGACCTGAACAGTACTGACATTTACTGTTCAGTAAATGTCAGTACTTAGTTTGATTTGCTCAAGAGTTTATGAGAGACATATTTAAAGCGCACACATACACAGACAACATTGATTATTGTGAAAGGCCTACTTTAATATTTTTAAGAATTCACCAAGGTAGTGGTTTCCTTACACAATTTACAGCTTTCGTTCTGTGAGAATTTCTCTCATATTCAGGCAAACTTATTGTACACCGAAATATCCTTAATTAAAACGATATTCAAACAAATCAAATGGAATCAAATCCAGCTCCAGTAAACAAATTACAAATGCATACGGGAACTGTGAAGAAAAGGTATATTACTGCAGTGCCTAATTCTGGGTGAGCCTAAATGAAAAAGTTAAGCGCACCAGTGCATCCAATGTTAAAAGTAAGTCTGGAGTCCTGATACCAAAGAATTATGAATTATTATACCTTGGGCAGAAAAGTTTGAAAACCACTGATCTAGACTGGTGGAACGCCACTTCCTTTCCAACCTCTGGGATGTCTGTTTTAAAGCATGTGTTTGTGAATCATACCATTGAGCTAATGTCCTCTGATTTATTGACGGTGTCAAGAGTTGTATACAATGAGGCTGCTGTACTATGAACAAAGTATTCAACATAGTAAATAGCTGTCGTGGCAGTTGTGCAATCCCACTCTGACAACAAGGAACGAGACACAAATCTCTTACAGTATTGTCACACTTTAATGCTCAGAGCATGGTACACAGGACAAAGGTTGGTTTGTAATATGCACACCGATGGCAAGCTGTTTCTCTTTATACATTTGGCTCATTCCTCCCCCTCTGGTTGAGGATGTTTTATAAGCCAAAGGTCAGGATCTTCTGATGACAACAGAGCAACAATGCCTTAGTTTAGGCAATCAGGCCAAGATTCAGTCAGTAGCACAGGATTCAGCATGATCAAGGTTACATTGTAAAGATTCAATCATGATCAATCATAGGGCAAATGAACATGAGTACATTCTGCATGATCAAAATGTTACATTTCCCTTACAATAGCCTACCAAAGGAATTATTTCATTAAAATTGATTATGAATTTTAGTTATCCTCAAGACACTATCGGATAGTCATTGTCCAAATTCAATGTTGATAATACCTTACATTTGTAAAGTGCCTTGAAATAATGTATATTATGTTTTGGCGCTATTGTAAATTCCAGTGTTATTAAAAATGGTCAGACAGAAGTGGGTTTTAGGGAAATATAACATTTTCAATTTCTATATCGTATGTCACAACAAGATCAAGAGTGTGATTGAAACAGTGACTGGGTTCATGAGTGTTAATGTGGGTGGGGGGCATTGCTTCATTTAAACTCACATATTCATCTTGTTGCTGCCAGGTTTCAGTTACAGAATAAATCAAATCAAATTGAAGATCAGATCAATGACTTGTAGATATTTAGAACTGAGTGGCCTAAAGACAAAATTAGTAGTTGTATAATTTAGTTGTACGATTGTATGTACAGTACAGTTTTGCCATTCACACAGTACATCTCTGTGCAGCACTTTGTCTATCACACATCAATCTTGCACTAGTGGCACAGCTCTCTGGGGCAATTCAGGGTTCAGTATCTTGCCCAACAACAAGAGTAAGATGCTGAACCCTGAATTGCCCCTTAGAACAAAAAAGTGCTGCTAATAGATGCACTGTATGAATGTGTGTGTGGATGGGTGAATGGCAAACTGTACTGTACAGTGCCTTGAGTGGTCATCAAGACTAGAAAAGCACTATATAAATACAAACCATTTACCATCCTTGCAGAGCCCTGACAGAGAAAATAGTTTCTGTTCTACCGAAGATGAAGTGTCCTCATCACCTTGAACCCCATCAAATCCAAGGCCTGGATTTTATCCACATTTTTCCTGTGATACAAGTAAGAAAGTTCATGACAAACTTTCAGCTAACATTCAACATCAAATGAGTCCATTAG